GGGGGCAAGCGATTTACGCTGGTCGGGGCCGCTGTATTAGTGAGGGACTCCCAGTGCTCAAAATGGGCCCCGTGTTGGCAAGGGGTCCCTGAGTCGACCAAGTGCAGTATTTGATGATGCCCGAAAAGGGGCCCTCGGGGCGTACCGGAACTGAAAGCCCAAGGCCTGATTGGAGGGCATAAGGAACAGGAGAGTTGGCTTTAGGTCGCATAAAAGATCCCGGACCGCAGGGCCGTGACCTGAAATATCAGTCGGAGGTCTTCTGGCACCGTTTGAGGACCCCTTGAGACGATGAGGGCGCCTATGTCAGCCAGAGACCACGAGCACCGAACAGTTGGTTTCGTGTCGGTCTGAATCCTAGGGGCCCATTTCCAAGCAGGAGCCAGGCCACGGCACTCGCTTCGCATTAATGTGGTCCCTGAAATAAGGATAGTGACCCTTTGGCGGTCAGGGGCCCCGCAGTGTCTAACAGGTGGTCATCTGTCGGCACGTGGTCGGCAACTCGGCAAGTCTTGCAACAAGACTGCAACAACGACAGAGGGCCAGACCAGACAAAGCATAACCAAGTAAAGCATGGAGTACGGAAGCAATATGAGTTATGTAATTGAAGTATACATTGGCTATCCATAATTCAGTGCACATCCTAACACAAGTAAGTTCTTCAAGTAGATTTAGGCGTCTGAAGTGGAAGCTCATGTGATTCATCCAAACGTCATGATACCATGAGAAGTACAATAGTTGGAAAATTGTCTGAAATGCCCAGATATGTCTTAATTTTCTACTTGTCGAGAAAAACTAGGGCGCTAGGCGCGACAGCTAATAAATCATGGTTAAAACTAAGCTCTGCATATGATGACACACACACACACACACACACACACACACACACACACACACACACACACACACACACACACACACACACACACACACACACACACACACACACACACACACACACACACACACACACACACACACACACACACACACACACGCACGCACGCACGCACGCACGCACGCACGCACGCACGCACACACACACTGGAAACCTAAACCTAACTCTAGAATTAGGTTGCAATTTCTAGGAACATTTTTGAGTTTTGTCGGCTTAGAAAGAGTCCACTGAACCATTCTTAAACTATAAGCACCGGTGACTCATTTACGAAGTCGATCAACATCGGATGTTTTAATTTTATTGAACTCGAATTTTAAACAGAATTCGCCTCGCGGGTGTCCCTGGGTTCTGTTTCATTTCTGGAAGATAAAAACAATAACAAAAGCAGGGAAGCCGTGACCCTCATTAACAACCGGCCGCTTTTGGGGGCCTATTCTTTTTCCAATGAGGGGCCCCAGCCTCATCAAGACAACAACTAAATGTTCTCGGGCCGCTGTGACCGTTACGCTGCTCATAGATCAACCAAAAATTATACAGGTGAAATTTGCGTGCCAGACTAATCTTTGACCGATGCGAACTGCTTTTGAGAGACTTGCGGAATTATCATTTCACAACGGTCGTTTTCGCCCGCCAGGCGTCTGGTATCTGTAGCGGCCGACGCCACTCGGTTTGATGGAAACTGGAACCACGGCCTATCGGTGTTGTCGCGGGACCCTCCTTTTTCGGGAAAGGAGCGCCCTGTTCTCAGTTCGTGCGATGCTCTATGGTCCTTATTTTCGAGATGATGTCTTCGGGTGTTTTGACATTTTGAGCGAGGTATCCGTGTTTTATGGATTTGTTCTCTGAAAGTTCCTTCTCCAGTTTTAAGCGTTATTAACATAACATTCTATAGATCCGAAGCTACAGCTCCGTAGATATCAACGTCTTTCATTCAACCTCCCCTATGTGTGCACTGTGCAGTGCGACAATCCGATTCAGATTTCATTTTGTCTTCAATACGGTCGAAATCCTAAAAAAATGTGATAGCGCCACGTGGTTGGTGTGAGCTGCCAACCACTTTGTAGCGATTTTGATCCACCTGCGTCTTGACTTACTTACGGTTTGACTTATTAAATAGCAGCCCGACCTGGTGTTGACGAATGAGCCAGTGACGAACAGCAGTCAGGATCAAACGGTTTGTGAGTGAGTTAATCGAATCCAGAAACAAGGGTGTGGTGTTTGTGGCGAACTAATTGGAACTTATAACCGCATGTTGGGCTTGGAAACAATATGTGAGAACCAGGAGCTAAAGCCTGTTTGCAAAATAACCCATGTGATGCAGTAACCAGGGAGTAATGATAATGAAAGAATTGGCCAAAACGAGGGATCCGGAACCTCGTTTTGATGAGGGTAAGTGGGTACCAGAAACCAACATGGAAAGCCAGGCACACATCTGCTGGAAACGGATTTCTAAGGGCGAATAAGAATATAGACTCAGTGGTAATGTCAAATGTTATATCCTAATTTATCACATACCATCATGTTAATCAGCATGCTGAGTAGATCAATTTTTCGCCGACATCAGATCCAATATTTCCTGCTTGTGGACTCTGAGTCCGAAGAAAAACATCCCAACGAAAACAAAGCATGTGTATCTATTTCAAATATTACCGATTGTCCTACGCTGTAATATCATACAAACATTGTTATGGTGGTGCAACATATGGTGGTTTTGGTCTCGTAATAGTCTGACATGGGATGGGGGATTTCCAAAGTTTGGGCAAGCAAATTGGCACAACCCTAGCATAAGATGGATACCAGGTAAGCGAGAACAAGACCGTGCTATGTTTTACCTACACGTGTTGCGATTTTTTCAGATACCAGTGTTCTGATTTAGTTTAATTTCAGGAGAATATTGTATGAAAAATGACCAATCACAGTTTATTGCGTTTTGCATGCACCAGCAACTTTGTGAACAAGCGTATGAACTTCAGTTGCATTGGCATGCTTGCATATCATGCAGTTACACACCTACACTCCCGTACTGGACCCACGCGCTTGGCGTCCATATTGCTAACAACGATTTTCATTCGCCTTAGTGTTTCACCACAGCACATATCAGCACAGGTTAACCGATATTGGAAGCGTAGCATTTGACTCATTTCCCTGAAACATTTATGTTTCCTGACCGCTCTTCACGCCATGCTCCCTGTTTCGTATGCAGATCTTGTGGACATCACGGTGATTTGTTCTGCCACGTCAGGTAAGCCGTCAAAAAATGATGAGCCTTTTACATGAAAACCATCCGTCCCGAACAACAACATTTACGCGTAATCGGTGCTTGCCAAACATCTTAGGTTGTAGGTGTATACACGCATACAAGCATCTCTTTTCCACCGAAAGATCCTAGAACATCGCGCAACACAGACCACAGTCAGCACTTGAACACGCTACCACAGTGCAGAATCTGGGGCTTATCGCCATGGCAACCGCGGTTTAATTCTGTGACCACATGAAATCCCCTGACCAATGGAAGAACAAATATGATGTCCGAATTTGCGGATTCCCTAAAGCCATAGGCTCTACATTGACGGAGACCAGAGCGCCTTACCTTATTGTTTCTATAGCCTTGACTGTATCATTGAAACTCCACGTCAAAGTGGAGGTCGGCACATTTTAAGCTTTTTTCCGAAAGTAAATGTAAATGCGCTGTAAATTCTTTACTTTTGCTGTGCCATTATTGGACCGGTTTGCATTTGATAACACATTGTGGCAGAATGTCGTAGCAAACGCAATTTGCTGCAGCGCGCAGAACTTGGCTGAATAGAATGAAACATCGCTGAATAATGCTCAAACACTCCACTAATAATGCAAGACAAGACCATAATTAAAATGATGCGTGAGCTATGGCCACTTGAAAAATACCTGATGTACCAAAAAGAGGAAAGCTCCAGCAAACATGGCACGTACGCGGCTCTCTTGAAGTTTGAGAAACTCTGTCAGCTGCACTCATCTGAAGCTGACGTTGCAGTTTGCACTTTCTTTGTGTCTCACCTGCGAAAAATATTACAAATATTTCGAAAGTTAGTAAGTTTTAGCTCACTTTTCATATTCTGCGTAAACCTACATAGGATCAAGAGGGTTGGGGGCAAACTCACCGTTGGGGGGCCAATTTGGACTTGGGGATGGAGGCAGTGGCCTACCCAATAGAACATAAATCAATACCCGTGGCCCTCATTCACACAGATAGCGCCCGAGGAAGGCTTCCGCACCACCACCAACGATCCGGTTGCAAGCTGGCCTGGCTGCAGATCTCCAAAAGAACAGACCAATAATCTGCTAAGAGCTGGCACGGTGCCAGCCCCCGGTCCGCTCATTACAATTGGAAGTTTTTTGAGAAACTTGTGTGGCTCGCTATCTCTCGTGTGACACACTAGTTTATCGCGTCAGTATTAAGATGGTTTGATGGAATCATTGCCATCAACTGTTACACGCATGGTGATGCGTGTGAAAAGATGTGCTTATTCTTTTTCGGGTGGCAACTACCACGACAGGGGCATGTTGCTCTGGCCAGACTTGATCAGCCTTCACAATTGCAAGAAAACTCGCGAGCTGCTAGGAAGAGGCCAGAGTACCGTATGTGTCACTCGACACGAGTCCCCTCGAGGGATCAGTGTCGCTCCACTGCACCCTGTGCGCCTCAGCTGACAGCTGCGTCCTGTTGAGGATGTCTAGGCAATCATTAAAAATAAGGTTATAAGGGAGGCTGGTATGTAGCATCCAACCTTGCTCTGTCATGCATGGTGCGCCAGGCGAACGCTGACCCGGACCCAAATGTGCAGCGCAAAACTGCTGATGCCCGTGCCCAGGTGTGAGCGCTTCCACAAAGCCGGGGTGATGGAAAAGGTCCACGAGGCATGACATGACCGCAGTTTTTAATATCACGCTTCTGTTGATAATTGTATTGATAAGGTAATGAGCGTGCTTACAGCATGATTACGCATCATATCAGTTCCCAGCACCATCTATTATGCAAGAATCGCCTTTTTAGCTACCAGCGCGCGGCTGCGGGTTCTGACCACTTCAGCTGCGTCATAAAGCTGAGGAATCATTCCCTGTAATTTCAGCCGCTCATCGGGGCAGTACCTTGAGGAACGGGGGGTCCTTGGGCGAGAGCAGGAAGGAGCACGGATGGTGGGGCAGGGGCGGCGGTGGCGTGCGCGGTCCCGGTGGCCAGCGAGCTCTCGCGCAGCACCGCCGCCAGCGCCACCTTCGCCTCGAACAGCGCGAACCGCATGGCGATGCAGTTGCGCGGCCCGCTGCCGAACGGTATGTAGGCGCACGGGTGGCGCTTGCCTTCTCCTCGGGCAGGAAGCGGTCCGGGTCGAAGCGCAGCGGGTCCGGGTAGTGGTCCGGGTCGCGGTGCATGGCGAGGACTGGCATACCGACGATCATGCCGCGCTTGATGAGCAGGTCTGTGCCGGGGAGGACGTAGTCTTTGGTGCAGCAGCGCTCGAGACGCAGTGCCGGCGGGTACAGGCGCAGCGTCTCGGCCAGACAACTCGGTCCAGGTAAGTCATCTCCGTGACGGCGTCGTAGGTCAGCCGGCCGTCGTGCTTCGCCAGCACCTCGTCGATCTCACGCTGAACAGCGCTCTGGATGTCGGGGCTGGTGGCCAGCGAGTAGCCGGCGAACGTCAGCAGCGAGGCCGTCGTGTCATAGCCGGCGACGAAGAAGAGGAGCGATTGCGCGACGATGCTGGAGTCGCGAGGACGCGCTGACCGTCCTTGGTCTTGGTCTCGAGCATGAGCTGCAGGAAGTCACGGGTGGCGGAGCTATGGGTGTCGCGGTGGGCAATGGTACGGCCGACGACGCGCTCGAAGAAGTCGCAAGCGCTCTGCGTGGGGTCCGGCAGGCTGTTGCCTATCCATTTTGGGAACAGCGAAAGCACCAACAGGCGAAGGTTGACGTAACGCGTCGGCGCCTTAAAAAACTGTCCGGCGTGCGCAGCGAATTCAGTGTTAGGGTCTTTGAACGAGTTGCAGTTGACGCCGAGAAACCGCACGAGGCAATGTTGTCCATGGTGAAACGACCGAAGGCGTCCTTCAGTTGTACCTCCCCATTCGCCGCCATCTCTTCCCGCAAATACCCGGCAAGGTTGACCGCGTTGTCCAGGCAGAGCTGGTGCATGGCCTTGAGCTTGCTGGCAGAGAAGCTGGGCGACAGCACCGTCCGCGCGTCCTTCCATTCCTTCCCACTCAGCATGATGATCATCTTCTCAAACCCCTTGCTGATCGCGAGGTCACGCCGGTCGGTAAAATGTTCGAAAGTCCTTGACGGTGATAGCGCGGATTAGGTCCGGATCGCCCACGTAGAGCAACCGGCCGGTGCATCTCGAGATAGCCGCAGTACTTTTTGCCGCCTTGCTCGTTGTACAGCCAGCTCTCAAACTCGGAAATTCGGAATTCTCCTCCACTTAAGCTGGCTTGGTTAAAGCCATGCCCGTAGGGAAGTTTGGCCGGGGGCCGGGCACGCCTCGCGACGTCCAGTAGTCGTAGTCCTTAGTGTAGAAGCGGTAGGCGAAGGCGATGACGGCCACCAGAACAGCCAGCGTCACTGGGCTCAGGACCCAGCCCAACAGCGACCAGAGCAGCGAAAGGAACGCGCTGATCATGATGTCAGAAATGTTGACGTCGACCTGTCTCCACCTCGCACTGTCAGTTTCTGTGTTCGCTTGCTCTCGGGTGTTACTTCGTGGTGACCATCAACTCTGCACCGGCCACCCACTTCACTCGTTTGGGGCTTTCCTCGCCGTTTACTTTTTCGTCCATATACCCCACCTCACCTGCCCTCCAGTCGCCCAGCACCGCTCACTGTTTACCTAAGCACCCGTTCTGTTTGGCACGCGCGCCGAACCGGCCCTGAGTCTTGGTCCAGGCCCGATTGGGCCCTTCTTCGGGGCGGACTGCAGCTAACCTCAGACGTTGGCTGGCCTACGACCACCCGACAGCCGCAGACGTGAGTGTGGTGTCACAGACCGGTGTTGAAGAGTCCTCTGCAGCTATCAGGCACGGATGATAGCCGATAGTGACAGCAGCGTCTCGCAGTGCTGCCGATAAGCCGACTGCTCTCCGAAACATCCGGATGTGTTGGCTGTTTTCCTGAATGGGGCGGCTGGACGGCGAAGAACACCACACAACCACACCCCGACCCGCCCAACTCGCCGGGCACTGCACCAGCCGGCCGACGTCGCCCAAAGCCGTGCGAGCAGTAATGCATTCAGCCTTGGTCCGCTCGAGGCAAAGCCCCTAGTGACGTCATTGGAATCAGCGTCCAAGGTCGTTTACAGCCGGCGGTTTTCAGCGGCGGTTCAAGGGCCGGATCTCGGCGGCGAGGGGAGCAAGGAAGACGGGATGATTGAGTGAGCGAGGCGCAAGGGGGGGGGGGGAGGGGGAGGGAAGGAGGCCGGTATCGCATCATAGCAAGAAACGTCACGTGACAAATCTGCGAGTCGACGAGCCGGCACGTGTCGTGGGGGCAGGGCGTCACGACGGGAACCCTGCATGTTTCATGAGATGTTACGAACCTGAAGAATATAATAGAACAAATGGGAAAAATGTAGAAGAGACAGGAAAAAATAGACATCTGTACTGTACCATAAGAAGGTATCACAAAGCCACCACCCTATGGTCTCTTAAAGAGAAGTTAATGGAAAGAGGGGGTCATATCAACCTTATTTCCCACATTGAATTGAGCTGCTTTGAGGGATATTTGAAACCAAAATATGAGTTTTATTTTTGCTATCAAACTGCATATACAAGAAAGGTGTCTGGCTGTACAATATGGATGCGTGCTGTTTGGCGCTCGGCAATCAAGCGTCTGGAATTCTTTACATATTTTCGGGGCCTTGGCCACTGCCCTCAATCCTGTTTGAGCTTACTAATGCCATTCGGAACTCCCAATGCAAATAGGCGGAAAATTAAGAATTTCTCAACTATATATAGGTAACTGAGCACACAATTGTTATGTTGCGCCATTCCCAATTGTACCCCATAATATCATACAGGTTTGTTGTCTGTTTTATCTTGCTGACGCTGGCACATGCTGCGTCAGTCTGCAAATGCAGGTAGGTCTTTCAAACGACAACAGCTGGATGGGATCAAAAATGCATTGTAGTATATCATGGATTTTCTTGTTGAAGCAACGAAACTACTAGAAAGGCCCGATCCTAGAGAACACTAACGTGGGATTGCGCATGTCTGGCGGTTGGCCGTAGGCTTTTGCTTTTCAATCTCAGCGTTGAAGTCATCTGACGTGCACTTGTTCCTTTATCTCATCTATTCTTGGCATGGCATTGCTATCATTTTTCCGATGCCCCGACCTTTAAAAGTCCTCATAGTTGTGCTTAAAGTGACCCACGTCTCGGACATATTTAAGAGCATACTGCAGTGAAACCTCGGGACTAGTTACGCCTAATAACGGCATTGGGTCTTGTCACTGCAGCACTGCAAGACAGGATAAGAATATACATTTTGATCATTTTCGAGTCAAAATTACGCCGTCAACGCTTCGTAACAGCATCAAGCCTCTTCTGTGCAGTCGCACCCACCGTCGCCATCATCTTTGAGCGCACTTCTACTGGTGTGAATAAAAGAGCGTGTGTGATTGGCCTTGTGGGCGAGAACTTGTTATCGGGAAGCACATTGTTGATATTCGAACAAACGCGTCACATGGATCATGTGATACTCACATTCCCAGAGCCAACGTGTGCCTCGAAAAGAGTCAATCTGGTAAACGCAACTGGCGAGAAATCCGACCCACAATGTAACGTTTCGTTGAATTCGTGAATGATAGCCTCATGTTCTCAGATTTTTTCTTTAAATAGACTGCTGCAAGCTTTCCCAGCATTTATTACCCCAAATTTCGACATATTAGTGTATTGCAAAAGTACAGAATATACACATTGGAAAAAGGCAAATGAAAGATATTACATCAGTAGTAGTAAGCAGAGTGTCAAATGAGATTTTATCCGCAGGATCGGTTGCTTCAAATAGAAATTCTAAGCTTTTCAGAGAGATTTCGAGAAAACTAGCGTTACTGATCAAATCATGCGTGTCGGATGTCGTATTACGTGAAAAGCACAAAACGGCGGGATACTGCATTTAATGTTTCCCCATTCACACAGTATTTGTCGGACCGGCGACAGTTGTAACTGATAAAGTTAAATATATCATTCAAGATGTTCCACATATATAGATTAAACCAATGAACGTAATAAATTTATCAAGAAACGTTTGCGGAGCAAGGCAAGGTTTCACGTGAACATACCAGCGAGCCGTCAAAATGTATGTAACCTTTCAGTTTTTGCGGCCTGTAGCCTTATTGCAGAAATAAGTCCAAATTTTGTAAATGGGTAAATCTTCCAGATCATAGCCGAGGCTAAGTGCACTTACCTGAAACCTGACCTCTACCATCCGGTCGGGAAGTTCAAGGACAACGGCAGAATTCGGTGATGAAAATCAAACGTGTCGCAATGCTCGGCACGGTCGGTCCTGTCAGCTATTTGACTTTCGGCTTGATCTCTGCCAATGGCTGGACACCAAAGGCCATGCCAATCAAACGCAACTAGCGACCGCCTAAAGCGACTCGAACCCATACCGCCACGTGTGGGTGGATCGGAAGGCAGACGCTCTAACCATCCAAGATATCGGAGCGGGAATAACTTAACGCGATTTGTACATTAGTTTTTGCGTACTATTCGAGGCGTCGCCATTTTACCGTTTATTACTGGCCGAAAGTAAGGTCTGAAAGTCGGAATAGGTATCTTTTCCACAACAGAGTACAAATAATACCTAATCGAAAGCGCGCTGGGTAACTGAAAACGTCATTATTCGTACCATCGAAGTGAAGAGTATATTTGTCCCAAACAGTTCAGACTTGACTGTCTACGTGGCGCACTGACATCACCAATGGGCCAATAGGAAATCAAGATTATTTTCTGACTGGGCATTTGATTTTTTCTAATTCGTGCCTTGCCGTATGCATGCATTTCAGTCAGGGGCAAATCAGACAAAAACAAAACAGCTTTTGACAATTTCGAGGGGAGCAGAAGCCAGAAGCCTGCAGAAGCCTAATGGTGTAACTGCCATGCAGGAGGGGACTGGTCATCATGCCAGTAAGTATAGGTAGAAGGTGAGTTAAAGAATGCTTTCTCTTGGTCACTGTCATTCAAAGTTTCCAATATTGTGTATGACATTGCTATGTCTTCTACCTTAAAAGTCCCTTCGGATGCATGCAGGATTCATAATCTCACTGGGGGAAGGGGGAGTTTCAAGTCACTGGGGGAAGGGGGAGAGTTTCAAGTCACTAGGAATATTTTTTTGCTTGCACCAGTCGCTGACATGTTTCGTGGCCTTAAAGTGACACCATAAGTTGTGGACTATAACGGCGTCTGTCCCAACAGGTCCCACACCTTGGAGCATAGTGACGTAGACACTCACGTCATAGGAAGCAACCTCACGTCAGTTCTTCACCGGGGGGCGTTCATAATGTTTACAGTTTATCATGCCCACATTGCATACTGTGTATAGTTCATAATGTCCACACAACAGCTTCACCCATGTCCAAGTCAACCTCATGCTGGACAAGCGTCACTAAGCGCCGTGACGACGTTTCCTTCGGTTTAGTAATTACAGTCAATACAGCACCGCCGTTGCGAAAAAAATCGCCCGTGGCCGAGTCTGAATAAACCCGACTGAAAAGGGACCGACTCTGGATAAGAGACCTGAAACAAAGCTGGATGAAAGAAACCAGGTTCCGCACGGCACAGATCGAAACCAGACCTACGGGAATGAGCCCGAACCTTCATAAAACCGACAGCCTACAGGGCGGAAGTGGCGTGCAAAAAGGGCCTGGTGGCGGACTTCAGCAGAACTTACCTCGACATGCCACCACTCAATCACCGGGGGGGGGGGGGGGTCTGGGTCATAATAGCTGTGGCATGTGTGCGGCGCGTTTTAGAAAGGTATAACTGTAGAAACAGAGATAGAAACTATAACTGTAGAAACTCCCCACATGCTGAAAGTCATTGCAAACGGTTAGTAACTAAAAGAATATCAGCTTGCAAAAAGCGAAATAATCGGGTCGAGTCGCCCATGTTAGACTTCTGACACAAACGCTGTTGATAAGTTCAAGCATGACCCCCTGGAGCCGTGATCCTTAAACACCAACACCGTAGAAGTCAACATTTCCTTAGATAGGCTAGGAAAGTCATACTGTAAGGGCATGGCAAATCCTCATGACAGTGTTTCCAGTCAAATGCAAAAGACAATGTGCACCCACCACATTTTTGGGTGCACATTTCAGAGCGCTATTTTCTTGTGCGGAAAGAAGTTGATGAACTAGTTGTAAGCTGTAGGCAGTTGACCTCCTCGCCTGATAGGGGAGGAGGGGGGGGGGGGTCAATGAGACTCTCAAAGGTTTTCTAGAGATATCTCTCCGGAATGTTGTGAATTGGCGCCTAATTTTTTTAGCCTCTGAGGGATTCATCGCGCAAGCTTTGGTGACAAAAAACGTGTCTCTAACCTTTCTGGCTTTTAAGAAGCGACCGTTTTTCAGGAACACCGCACGGCGATCTACGCCTGGTGCAGGCGGTGAGCGGCGACCGACGAAGCC